ATAAAATGAACATTAGACAAAATTATTGTATTTAATTAAAATTATTTAGTCAAAGTTTTTAATTAGAAAAAAAAATATGTAATCATTGTTTCTATATACAAAGTCAAAATTATGTTCATTTATTAAAAACTAATTTACTGAAAAATTTACTAAAAAATGAATTTAAACAAATCGTTTTATTTATTTGTAATTAATTAATCAAAAACGATGATTATTTTATATATCTGAATATATATATTCGAAAATTAGAATTAAAGATTAAGACCTTAAAAATTTATTTATTTAAAATAATTCAAAGAAAACGTGGAAAACTTTGACAAATCTAATAATTTGGATTATGAATTGTTGAAATTTATTGCTAAGTAAAATGAAAAATGATGAGAGAAAGATTAAAAGTAATGTAATTAAGAGGGCTGAAGGAAAACAAGAGGAAGGATGGATGGATTATCTCGAAATGTCGGTTGTTTTCTTGGCTTTGGCACGGTTTTCTTTCTATCTATTTCTTTATTTGTTCCTTTCAGATGGGGGAGTTTTTGGATCCTCTCCTTCTTTCTCTCTCTCACACTCTGTCCGCCATCGTCTGCGAAAATCAATGATTTTACCCCACCTAGAATCGCTCCACGCTTAACTGATTGCAAAACTTGACTAAAGTTTAAATCTCCTACCCTCTCCTCTATCTGATTCACCCTTCGAACTCCACCGAAACCAATCATTTTCTCGCACAAAGTTTTATAACCAAAATCCAATTTGTTTAAAAAAACTTTTACGTAATTTCAAACAGTTTCAATTATTCAAATCCCTTGTTTCATATAATCTTAATTAAACAATTAAAATCTAAGTTATTTTACTGTTACTTAAAGTTTCGATTTTTTTTTACAAATTTACTAATATTAATAAATTAAAAACTAGTTTTTTTATAGAAGCAAAAAATGACACTTGAAATATACAAAAAACTGTGAATTGTTATTGAAACATTTGAATAAATTTAAGTAAAAAAAAACTATTTTGTAAGCAGTTGAAACTATAGTTTAAATACAAATTTTGCAATTTACTAGTATAATTATATAAACGAACGGGTCGGTTTTTCCGAGAAATCCGATGCGAATATGCAAGTATGTCAAATCTCACTTCTGTCACATATAAACATATCTTATTATACTGGATTATATTGGACAAACATCTGCTAAATATCTACATGCATGATTCATTTCAGCTGATGCGGTTTGTCCTATTTCCACGATACGCTCGTCCACTTTAGACAAGAAACCATTTTTCCTGCCTCTAGGTTTTATCTTTCACCAATGCCAGTCTCTTCTAATTGGTACAAACGTGTTACATAACAGACCGTTCGAGCCATAAATCCGTAATAATATGACAAGCAGAAGATCGAAATACCACCCCTGTTGATGATACCAAATTACGTTCTGTTTCCAAACATTCATCGAGTTTATCTCAAATTACACAACTTTTTCTTTAGAAATAAATAAGTTAATAATAGTTTACACACTTGAAATACTTCAAAATTTCCTTTATTATTGATTTTAAGACATATTACTAATAATATTTACAAACTAGAAATGCTTAAAAATTTCATTTTATACATAAATAGACAGATTTTTTGTTGTAGTGTAAATACTGACTGTTTCCAAACATTCATCGTTAGTTTTACTGAAATACTGAGCTTTTACTTTAAAATAATTAAATACTTTAAATTTCCCTTTAATTAAGAAATTTTGTTAACTATTGACTGCCTCCAAATATTTATCGAATTTTTCATAAGTTGTGTATAAAAAAAATAAATACTGCAAAATTTTTCTTTATTATTGATTTTTTAGACTGTTTTCAAATATTCATCAAAAGATGAGCTTTTTCTTTAAAGAAATTAAATATTTCAAATATTGACTGTATACAAATATATTAATCAAGTTTTTTCAAGTTGAGCTTTTTCCATTAAACATTTAAATACTTGAATAAATTTCTTAGTTACTTTTTCTCAAAGTATGAACTTTTTCTTTCAAAAAATTAATGAATTTGTTTCTTGTAACTGTTTCCAAACTCTTTCTCAAATTATGAGCTTTTCTTATAATAATAGTTTGCGCACTTGAGATGCTTAAAATGTTCGTTGATTACTGATAGTTTTCCAATGTAAATATTGAATAAACGCATAATAGTAATCGCTTTGTTTTATAATCCACTCAAAAAATTGAAACTTAATCCTAAGCTGATAAGATTTAGTGCGCTTGTTTCTGTGCGCGATGCTTTATGACCGTAATGCATTTAAGTGGAAACTAAGTATGCAGTTTAGTAAGTTATTTGCAGACAGGATGTGCATAAATATAAAATAATGGCGTTTCGGCCGACGAAAACCCGCGGATTGGAGACGACCCTTTTTTTTTCGGTACACGGTGAGGGCACAGATGACGCCTCTTCCCAACCATTTAAACTCGCACAACTATTGACGATTTGTATGCAATATTTTATGATACCAGTAGACAATAATACGAAAAAAAGAAGCGTAATACTAATTGGAAACGTGTATTAACAACATCTCCAGCTGCGTATCTTCATTTCATCCTTCTGCTTCCAATTTTTATATCTCGTCTTCAATTATAAAGAGAAACATTGAAAGAAGCAAAAAATGCAAGACGCATATGAAACATATATTTAAATGGGATCGTGCAACGGTTGTGAGTCGTAACTAGCGACGTTAATTGACTTTGATTAATACAAGTAATTTATTATTACTTCTTTTTCTTTTATTTCTTTTAAATACAATTTCAGTAGGAAAGAGAAGCGGAGAAAGGCCAGACATGGTAACGATAAGTGAATAAGAACATAAACATGATTTTCTTAATATTCCTTGAAGTTTATGTCTGCAGCAACGTAAATCATGCGCGCCTGTTCTTTTTTTTTTATTCGTTTCTTTTGAACTTCAAGACCATTTCCATTTACATATTGTTGCTTGATCTTAGAATGTCACCACGAGTGTTTTTATTCATTCCAATTTGAATATAACTGTTTCAGTCTCTTAATCCTGAAAACATAAAACTTTTTCAAGTTTAGATAAAAAAATAATTTTGAAATATTTCAATTTATAATAATGATGTTATTAATTTTGATTAATTAATTATTTAATACTTGAATCATTAAAAAAAAACAGTTTTTTTATCTTATAAAATTGATTTACAATATTGAAAATATTTATTCTAATGAAAAATTAATAAATATAAATTTTCATGATCAATACTATAGAATTTCTAGCAAAATTTGAATGTATTTATTTTCTATAAAATATGTGCGTCATGCATTTATAAGTAAACGTACGTTTACTGTCTGAATTCATAAATACTGCTTTTCCTTTGGTTTGTTTAAAGACCGACACAGCATTTTCGCACGGAATACTGCTTGAATAAAATCATGTGAAGAAAACGTAAAATAAAATTGGAAACAAGAAAATAAAATGTTTATAGGCAGGAACAAATCCAGTTTATAATTGACACTAATTGCGTGAAAAGAACGAAAAATAGCGGTAGTGAATCTTATACTTATTAATTTTCCTTACCTTATTAAAAAAATAATATTTTAATGAAAAGCTTCCTTGGCATTTAATTGAATATAAATTAGAAAAATAAATAAAATGAGAAAATTAATGTATGTGATTTTTTTTATAAAAATTAACGAATTTGCAATCAAATTAGTCAAAAAGTACAATTTATTCAAAATTTGATATTTAGACAATTTATATTATAATACTTTATAATATTTTTAAACATTATATTCGATAATGGAGAAAGCTAGTTTTAAAGAAAATTGAAAATTTGGAGATGTGGATTCGTTTTAAAAAAAAAAGTTTTTATTCATAAATTATGAGTAGTTTTTTAAATATTTAATTTGTACTAAATTGTTTTATTGTCATAAGTTTTTATTTATATATTATTATTATTTTATCATAAATTTGAAGGGTAGTTTATTAAAAGTTTGAGTTTAAAATTGGATAGCTGAATGGAACGGAGATAGCTTTAAAGAAATGCGAAATCGGGAGTTTGCAAATCGCAGGGGTAAGGACTGTGGGAGCAAAAGCTCATAGGGAAGAGAAGGATCGGGACGTGTGTCGCGTCTTGCAGGAGCTTTGGCCGAATGCGGGGCAGCCGAGCGGCGGCGGCGGTGGAGACAGTGGTTCGGGCGGGCGGCCGCTAGATCGCACGCGCGTCGCCGATCCCAGTCGACGGGCTCGAGGCGCGCGAGGAATCGCTGAACTTCCAGTACGTCTCTACCAACCTGTCCGTCGCTGTCAGTCGCCACGTACATTGTCCACACATGACATCGCGAACTTAACAAAACACAACATACAATTTCCTGGCGCTCTCGACAACAAGAAACAACTCAAAAATTATATGTATGCAGATCTATACATATGATTATAGGTATAGCTAGTGCACAAAAGTTTGAGTGTACGTATATTTAAAATTTAAAAAAATACGAATTTGTTGGTAAAAAGTTGTTTAGTACTGTTGGTGCGGTTACAGGGAAGAAGTGCGGTTTTTGTTCCTATTGGATTTTAAACGCTAGTCTAATTGGGTTCCTCCTCCGATGTGCTCCGAAATTATGTATGAATACTTTTGAAGAAGCAGGAGGAAAAGTGTTTTTTTGAACTATACCGAAGAAGTTTTTGTTTGTTTGTTGTTGCAAACCACCACCCCCACTCGATTGATACAGACAGAACTAGAGACAGACTATTTTGTTGTTTATTATACTTTGGCACCTGGTGCTTGTTGCGTTGAAGAAGATTGATTGCTAATTTTTGGGTGTTTTCTCTTTTTTTTTTGGTTTCTGTTTGAATCCAATTTGTTTTTGCTACGTGGGGTTTTCACTTGGAATTCGCTTGGGGGTGTTTTCGTTCGGCTGCGGTGGACGTCGTTCGATGCTGTGATCCCTTTTCACGTCGACCATCATCCTCACCATCGCGGACCCCGTGGCGTGCGCGGCACCCACCCTGTACGACCATGTGCATCCGCCCGGATCCTCTCCAGCCACCGGAGCGGGGACTTCCACCGGGGTAGCGTGGTGGGCCATGATGAACGGGTACGAGGAGAGCCCCCCGCCGGCCCCGCAGAGCGCCGCGACGCCCATCAGCGGCAGCAGCGGCATGACGAGTCCGGCGACGGTGGCGGCTGCAGCTGCTGCAGCCCCAGCTGCAACAACTTCGGCCACCTCGAGCTCATCACCGGCCAGCGTAACAAGCAACAGCGGTTCCGGAGGTGGCGGTCCGCTCCACATCCCTGCGAAACGTCTGACGACGACCTCCGGGTATGGGGAGTGCGCCGAGTCGAGCGTCATCAGGCATTCGCACCATGGTCAACCATGGAACTACTCGCCATCTGACAACCACCATGCCGGCGCGACAGCGTTCGAGCCGACTGTGGGCCTCAACCATCACCAGTACCCGAACGCGCCCACCTACTACAACCTCGCAGCGGATCCGACCGGGGGTCGCGACAGTCGCAAGGCCGCACCGTTATCGTTCTGGTCGCCGGCGGCGACGGCGGCCGCTGCCGGAGGCGGTGGAGGCGGCACTCCGGAGTACAAGTACTCGGCGGTGTCTGCGGCAGGTCCCAGCGCCGATCCTGCCGTCTCCTCGTGCCATCAGAGCTTCTCCTCGTCTTCGTGGTGTAACTATTCACCGTACTCTTCGGCCGCATCCAGGCATCACATCGACGCCCATCAACCCGTCCCCTATCTGACACCTGCAGATGAACGCAATCGTGTCGCCACCGCCATGGTTGCAGAGAGCGCCAGCTTCGCAGCCCATGCCCACGACGGCTACGGCCTCCGAAACTACGCATCCGAACCAGTACCATCCACCCCGTATCCACCTCCAGGTAACTATCTCAATCTATGTTATTATCTTTATGTTATGCTTCACTATCGTTCTTCCCTCCCTCCTTTACGCGACATTTCACCACAACGCGACTTCACTCCAGAGGGGGAAATAAACGTACAGTCATACCTCGTTTAACGACCTCCGCGCATTCCGCATTCAATCACGTCAAACTACATCAACACATTCATTAACTATTTTACAAATCAAAATTACTATTAATTTATTGAACTTTCTCAAAATAAATTTAAAATATATTATAACATAAATCATTTCTCGCGTCTAAATAAATCTATTTTAATTAGTCAAAAATTTAATTAGCAACCTTTTTACTATAAATTCGTACACTTCTTTTAAAAGGGGAACGAATGGTACAGTCATACCTCGTTTAACGACTTACAGTTCTCAAACCCCCTATTTTTCTGAATCATCTGCACGCTTGTAAACTATTCATTCTAAATTAATTATTCTATTTAAAAAAATACATTAATTAACTTTTTTTTTCAATAAACTAAATTTGCCAATATTGCGATTAAATTAAAAAATATACGTTAATTAATAGCAAGATATTGACAAGAAAAAATAAATTAGTTTCTTAAGTAATCACTTATTTTCTAGTCAATGACAAATTTCCATTGATTATTATTGTATAAGCAAATCAGACAATTTAAATGATTAACGGCGATTAATTAAAATCTATTGAAAACTTCAAGGTAATTTAGGAAGAATTTGACCTCATTAGGGTTTCGTTTCGTTGAGCTGAACGGACATTTAAATATCAAATTTTTGGGTACTTTTTACTTCGTCTAGTAGCTCGGATTAACGCTAGATGGCATGAGTCTAACCTTTTCGAGTTTATAGTCGTTTCTATCTAGTCTAGACGAAAATATAGCGTGACGCACACGGAGCGAGTGTGTGTGCGTGCGTATGTTTGTGTGAGGAAAGATCGAGAGGGGAACTCGAAACTCAATTACATGGAAATGCTGAGGGTGCAAGTAAAATACAAGCTATACAATCTGGCGAGAACTTGCTCTACACTCTACACACACATGCTTACACACTAATACATATATGCACAAACACACACAAAACTCGCTCACACTCGTTCTTGTTCTCTCACAAAACGTAAATATACAAGCCACCAGGCATATTTATAGCTGCAACATTTCAAAAACAAAATTAACTTACTTTTACTTTATAAATTTACAGTGGAATCTCTTCATTAAAGACCATTTTTTTTTTGAAAATACATTAGTTTATTCTAATTTTAAATAATTTTTGATGTACATCTTTCATAACAATTTTTCTAATTATTTAATTAACTCTACTTTGATCTATTAAATCAATTAATTAGATTTATATACGAGACAAAAAATACTACGTGAGCTTATATTTCGTATTTCATTTATTCTATCATTTCAAATTTAAATATTCCGAGCGACGTTTCCTACGATCGTTTAAACGAAGAAACACGTTACCAATTTCAATGGTTCAACGTAAATAATTCATTGACCATTTACGAATCACAAACCTGCTTTGAAACTGCAAACAGTATACGACAGAAAAAAGATATTTTTTTTCAAAAGAAATATCGAAATATTCTAAATTCTTTAATATAAAATATTGATTCAATATAAATTAATCAATAATTAAAATTTACTATTATTTTTTTATTTATGTAACTTATCTAAACTGTTTGTTTTTTCTTCATTTATTAATGATCATATGAACTGCAGATATGCTTTATCGAATGTTTTTTTAAATAATTAATCAACCAATTTAGATGTTTATAAATTCACTTACAAATACAACAACTTCTTTATCACAATACGAAATAAAATTGATTTTGCTAAATATAAATGAATTTATTAAATTAATACAAATATTAATTATTAAATTTAAAAATATACTAATTACTATATATTAAATATATTTCTGTATTTATTGAAGTTAGTAAACTTGGATTAAAATAAATCAAATAATTAGTTGATGATGTTCTGCTATGAATATTCGGCGGAGCCTCGGTCCAAGCAGTTGGATAGTTGTGTTTACGAGATAACAAGAATTTAAATGTACCTGGTTAACCTTGAGATTATGTCATTCGATCCTCGGGAAGAGCGTGGATGAGAGAAGGAGAGAGGAATGAAAACACGAAATTTATGGTCCACGGTCGTGCAATTCGGCGTCGGAGAAGAAGAAGTAAAAGAAAAAGTTGAAAAAAATGCGGTGGCAAGGCAGCATTTTATTAATGTCGCGTTTTTATTATTAGACTCGTAGTATTCGTAGTAGTATTTAGCACGAGAGCGGAAGCGGGATGTTAAAAATTATTTAAAGTCTATAAAACTAAACCGTTTATATTTACAAAAGCATTTTATAGACGCGCAATAATAATTAATAGCTTCATTCACGAGAAGAGAAGGAGGAGGAAGATCCTGCCGTCTCGCTCTCAGCTCATTCAATTCTCTTCCCGTTCGGATAGGTCAGTTTTATTAGCAATAGTGAAATGAAATAATAAAAATAAAAGGAGGAAAAGGAATATAGATGTGGTGGCATAACGGAGTTCTACATTCACATAGAGCTAAGCGCTGTGAGGATGTAGGCTCTTTATTTAGTTTATAGTGTATTTATTTGCATATTCGACTGGCTAATTGTTTATAGTTACGTGGGGATCTTCCCCGTCGTCTCTGTTTTCTTCAGGTTCGCTGGGATCGATGGGCGTGAGCGTGCCGTGCGGAACGGGCGGCAATCCTCTCGAGTGGACGGGCCAGGTGACCGTCCGGAAGAAACGCAAACCGTACTCCAAGTATCAGACGCTCGAACTCGAGAAGGAGTTCCTCTTCAACGCGTACGTCTCCAAGCAGAAGAGGTGGGAGCTGGCGCGCAACCTCAACCTGACCGAGCGCCAGGTGAAGATATGGTTCCAGAACAGGCGGATGAAGAACAAGAAGAATTCGCAGCGGCAGGCAAGCCAGCAGCAGAACAACAACAACAGCAACACCAACAACCAGAACCACCACGGCCATCACCATCCGGCGCACCACGTGCACTCGCAGCACCACGTGGTCAATCACCACGTGGCAGCAAACGGGACCCTCAAACATCACCAGTGACCAATGGGGTTCTCCGGGGTTGTGTTCGGCCATCCCCACGGTTTAGCAGCCTGAAGGATTCTCCAGCAACTATTTAAACTATTATTATTATTATTTCTTTTATTACATAATTATCGATTTCTTTCGAAACTTTTAAACAACAACAACAAAAAAAAAAGGAGAGTTAAACAAGACTTCCTTCCTGGTTTCTTAATTATTATTAGTAGAGTGTAGGTTTTATAGTTTGTACAAAAAAAAAACAACGATACAACAAGAAGAGGATGAAACGTCGCAAGAGGACACACACGAACTGAACAACCCTGGAAACACCAAAAAAAAAGAAAAAAACCGCAAACACACGAACACTTACTTTCTCTCTTAATTAATCTTTTAATTATTATTATTTTTGTTTGTTTTGTTCTTTGCTGTGCCAAAGAAAGGATTTCACGTGATACCCAGTGTTTATTGTTTTTTTTCTCTTTGTTTATTTTAGTTATTGTATTTTGTTTTATTTTCTCTCGAGTTAATGGACGAAGTTTATCGGACGAATTTTAGGGCTTGTGCAAGTTATGTAGTTTCGGGCGCTTAGCGCCCCCACCCAGAAAAAAGAAGATGTTGAAGAAGAAGAAGAAGAAGAAGAAGAAAAAGAAGAATCAAACGAAGTTGATCGAAGATGAAGTATAATAATAATAATGTTAAGTAAATGATGAGGAGCCGCGCGCCACCCGCCGTCACTAGAAGAAAAAAAAAGCTTCAGTGTTGGCGGCGGCGGCTCTTTCACTCACTCTCTCCTGTACATAACTCAATGTCTTAGCTGAAACTTAAGTCGTTGGTAATAAACTGAAACTTTTCTCTTGTAATCAATGTTGCCGTAGTCTGAATGTGTATAGTAAATAAATAAATTATTGCAGGCATTTAAATGTTAAAGAAAAAAAANNNTAATAACGAAAAAATCATAATAATAATATTACGAGCAAAAAAAAATACTTGCCGAGGTTTATATAAAACTTAACTTATTTTTTTTTGTTTATTGTCCACGACACTTCTCCCCCCGCCCCCAATAATAATATTTAATTAGTTTATATTTTTTCATTTATGTAATAATTGTATGTAATTGCGAATTTGTAAATATTATATTAAAAAACAACAACAACTTATTGATTAAAAAAAATATATATATAATAATAATGTATTGATTGAGAGCAATTTTAGGTACCTGTAAATCTGTGGCTTCTTTTATTTTTTTTGTATTTTTTTTTTCAAATTTTCCATATCCGGACTTTTCGTTACTTTGGTGTACTGTGACTTAATTGTTAGTATATTTAAACAAAAAAAAAATGATGAAAATCTACTTAACGCATAAAAAGATGGAAGAAAAACCTCCTAGACATCCGAATTTATTAATAATCTAAAAATATGCGAAAAAAAAACTTAATTAATAAATTAATAACTTTTCGTGTCTGTATCAAGAAAGGATTATCCCCCCAAGAAATTTGTATCTCAAAAAAAAAACTACTATTTTTTGAGAATGAAACATGTTGTAAATATTATATATATATATATAAAAAAAATTAATGAAGTAAGCTAAAAATTAATTAATTAAAATAATAACGAGTCTTGGTTCTCTTGTCTGAACGAGTGTATAATAATAATTTTAAATTTAACGTACTATGAAGATGTGTAAGCGAAGAGAAGGTGAAAGCAAGAGGATCATTCTTGATGTTTTCTAGAATACTTAAGTATTGATAACGCAATCTCGTTTGTAACCGAAAGTAAAGAACGTGTTTTTTTTACAATTATTTGTCTCTTATTTTTGTTTTTGTTTTCTTATCTATTGATTTTTCTCTCCTTGATTTAACTTAATTTGCGACGCGCGTAAACTGAAATGGGAAATGTCATGTTTTACCAATCGAACCATATTATTAATAATAATGAATTCAATTCAATGATCTCCGTGATTGGTTTTATTGTGTTATTAATGACTTAATTATTTAAGTGTTATATAAATATGTTTTAGTTTTATTATCATTATTACTTTTTGAATTAGTTACTGTGTATGTTTATTTTATTTTGATTAATGCGATTATTTTATATTATATTTTTTTTTTTTGTGAAAATTTATTTATTTATCTTTAAAAAAAAAATTGTACCTAAATATTATTATTTTTTATTATTATTTTTTAAATATTGTTGTGTTCAAACTTCATCTTGTTGTGTTATGTAATGATTGTATACACATTAATATTATTGATTAGTCTATAAACTGCGAACTTCTACCCCCCATCCGTTTCTCCTCCTTCCGCACGAGATTATTGTAAAGTAAGAAAAAAACAGCCCTTAATGTAAAAAAAAAATATGTTTTATAAACATAATTCCCTTCGTAAATAATATTTTTTTTGTCTCCCACCCTCTGTTTTTTTTATATATAAAAAAAATCTATATATATATATTGTAAACTGTAAATTTACTCTCTCGAACGGAAAAATAATTAAATAAAGCGTTAAAATAATTTTCCAGCTGATTTTTCCTGTCCGCACTTTCCTTGCGTTTTAATTTTCTCTATGTTTTTTTTTTGTTGAGGGTTTTGGTAAGTATACAAATTCCACGCTTCAGAGATTAGATCTATTGATTATGTAACACACGCATTTTCCTTGGAAATGGACACGAAAACTGAGACACGACTTCAATAAATTATTTAAAAGGAATTCCTTATTTCAACAGTCGGTGCTTTCCACTAATTAAATTGGACATTTTATTAACTGATTTCAAGTGTCAGACAACAGAATCCATGATTTTATGGCAGGAAAAAATTTGCAATACAAAACAAATCAATTCAAATACTTTTATTTTTCATATCGCTACTTGCCATGTAACTTGGCAAGTATGTTGTTATATGATACGATTTAGGCTAAAATTACTTGGCAAATACTATAGTAATGTTATTTGATAAAAAAAAAAGTGTCATTAAGTAGAAATAATTGAATAATTGGCAAGTATGAAGTATTGTGACAAGATGAAGTTAATTAATGAACTAAATGAAGTTTTGTCACTACTTGACAAGTATGAAGCTTAAATTGTGAAATTATTTAAAAATACTAAATTAATTTTGACACTACTTGACAAGTATGAAGTATTGTGACAAAATGTTATAAAATTTCTAAAATAATTGTAAAATGTACTTGATTAATATTGTAGCATAATTCTGAACTGAAAATATTTAAACAACTAAATTAATTTGGACACAAATTGGCAAATATAAAGTAATTTGTAATCGCTAAAGCAATTACAAAATGTACTTGATCCTATATTGTAATAGGTTTAATTTTGAACTGATGTTATTGATCTAAACGATTTTTTGTCACTACTTGACAAGTATGAAGTTATGTGAGCTCAAATTTTTTAAAAAATTAAAAGAATTTTGACACAACCTGTCAATTATGACGTATTGAATATTATCAATGTTCTAAAATTAATTGCTCCATTTATGCAGTAAAGCTGAAAAACTCTTTAATTGTGGAACAACGTTTGTGAAACATTTTTCCAAATAATTAAGTTTCTTTAATTTTTTTGGATATTTACATCAAAGATTTGTCATAGGTCATTGAATGAATCGTCAATCGGCAAAAGCTGATCAAAAATTGATATATAAACTATGAATGTATTTATGACACAATATTGACATATTTTGTAAATATTGTTTTTTTTTGTTGTTGGTGGACTAATTAATAATCACATTGTTGCTGTTAATTATAAAAATGCAGAAAGAATTTGTACAAAAAAATATAATTATATATTTAAAAAAGTACACATGATCAAAAAGTTACAATTTCGATTTACATGTTTGGTCAACTTACAACTTTTTTAATGTAAAAAAAAGGAAATCGAAAAGTATGCAAAAGAAAACGCGTAATTTCGTAATAATAATATTGAAAGGCAAACACTTTGTTCGTTTTGATCATAGTCAGTTTATTTCGAACATTTAATTTTTATTTTATTATTTTCTTAAACGTGTAAAAAGTACCAGGTATAATTTTTTAATTTAATTGTTTTTGAACAGTCTAAAAGCGAAAACGTGTAAAGAAAGTTAAAAGCGAAAACGTGTAAAGAAAGTACCGTGTAAAAGGAGTGATAGGTGTTTTATTATGTTCATATTGGATTTAATGGAAAATTAAGAACAATTCGAACTGATACAATAAAGAACAGATTTGTTTGTTGCAATTCGTTATATTTTTATAAGATTTCCAATTTAAACTTAATTCAAACAACAAATGCATTAAGAATTGTAGAAATTTGATGATAAAATATCATTAATTAATTTAATTTTTTTATTAAATTAATTTAAATATTTGCACTAATTTGGATGAATTTAATAAGAATCAAACACAATTTCCTAATTAACAATTATTTTGGTATTAATATAAACTTATTATATAACTTGATTTATTCATGAATATCTTTCTTACAAGGAGAATGAAGAAAATCTTATGAACTAGGGATGTATGAAATGCTTGAGATGAATTCGTAGTAGTTGTTAGTAAGTAGTAGGATATGTGCGTGTGTGTGTCTAGTGGAGAAGAGAAGGAAAGGATGTGATGAGCGCAGGACAGGTTAGGACTTCAGTTCTCCTTGTATCAGGAAAACAGGATCTAAAATGGGTCTCCGCATTCTATTTTCACAGGTGCTCGAATACGAACTACACAACTGAATTAACTTATAGCAAATTAACACATCTTCTTTTTAATTAATACATAGTCTCAAAAAAATATACAGAAATACTTCGCATAGTGCGGGTAATCTGTGAAACCGCACTAATTGAGAACAATAAATAGAGTTTTGACTGAGTAAAGAAACAAACAAATAATTTTGTTTACTAATTTTTTTGAATTTATATAAATTTTGCATTAAAATTTGGTTTGTTTTGAAAATTTCAAACCGTACTATAGTGAAACCGCACTAAAAAAAAGCCGCACCATGCTGTATTTATAATTTATAAATAATAAAAATAATTTTCACATTATTTATTATTACTTTTGCTTATTTTCTATTTATTGAATTACAGCTAACGACCATAGAAATCGATGC